CTTACACTGACAACTTTCTCTGGAATCACTTATTCATTCCGTTCTCCTGCCTCACCCGTGTGGGTGATCACAACTGCTGGCAGGGTCGGTTTCATGAGCCCTTAGTCTGTCCTGCTTAGTGGCCTAGCAACTCCCTTAGAGATGTGCAGGCTCTTGGCCCTCTGCCGTCAAGTCTGAGACAGTCAGAAGCAGATTTACCAGCCTGTCACACAGTAATTACACTAAGTACAAGGTCATCTTTTAGTGGGCATCTTTTCCAATGGCTGGGGCTCCATGAGGTCAGAGGTCGCTGGCACCAGGCTCATGTCGCATCCACCCCAGTGTCTGGCGCACACGGAGCCGCATCTTTATTAGTGACTGAATGAAGGAGGTGGGAGAACAGAAACGGGAGCAGCGACCTTCCTTCCGTAGATTCCTTTGGGAAGGAGATTTTTATGTAAGTAGGTCATTTTTATCTGATCTCATGCTTTAAAAATATTCCCCTTAGCCCCCAATTAAGAAAATGAGTGATTGTTTCACTCCCAGCCACTTGTCCTTCGGAAGGTGCCCAGAGTCTGACGAAGTGAGTTGGAACCTGCGGACGCAGCTGCAGGCCCTCTATCAGTGCCGTTCCACGGTCTGTAAAATTCCTCCGATAAGTGGACAGAGTATCTTTTCAGAACTTGTTGGTCAATAAGACAAGCCAGGAAAACCAAAATTGCTATAGATTATACATGCAAGGCCTTCGATGGAGCCTGGAGCACCAATCTGAACTGCCTACAGCCAGCCTCGAATCCCTCCCCCGCCTGTCTGTGGACAGAAGACAAAGCAGTCCCAGCAGCGTCTGGTTACAAGCTCAGCCGCTCTGAGCCTGCAGACACCTTGGCACCTGGAATCGTGCAAATGACACAGAAAGCCTCCCAGCAGGAGCCCCTGGAGAAGTGTGTGGACTATACAAACACTTCCTTAGCTTGGATTCGCCCCCCACACAGCCCCCGGGAAAGGAGACGCAAAGATAAATGGGACAATCTCCGTCTGCAAGGAGCGCAGGGGCTGGCTATAAGGAGATGAAATGTGGAGCTGGAGGGAGTTAGTCACACATATCTATACTCTATGCCTTTTGTGCTTTTCAGTTTAACAAAGCCTTTAGCTCTCACCGCATCCTTGGGGAAGGTAAGAGGGGGATAGTTCTCATTTTCAGAAGAGAAAATTAACACCCAGAGAGGCCAAGTGGCAGCTCAGGTGCCAGAGAAGATAGAGCGGCGGAGCTGGGAGAAAGGCACAGGTCCCCAACCCTGGGCTGCTGCTCTTGCTAATCCGTAGGCATCTGGGAGAAACCAGCCTGGCCTCGTGGCTTCACTTTCAACATAAAAGGTAACAAGAGAAAAAGTACAACAAAATGAGGAGAAACCGGGGCAGAATATATTAACAGGTAAAAAAATTTTAGAATCAGGAAAAAAAACCCAAAACATTCTTTGGGGGGGAGTTGAGTATAACATCTAAGGACATTTTATCTTTCTGGAGAACCTACACCTATACCTCAGCAACTTTTTTTTTTAGAGAGAGAGTGGGGGGGTGGAGAGAGAGAAATATGGATGTGAGAGGGACACACAGATTGGCTGCATCCTGCACATGCCCCAACCAGGGCCGGGGACTGAACCTGCAACCAAGGTGTGTGCCCTTGATCAGGAATCACGAACCTGATACCTTCCTGTGCTCAGGCTGACGCTCTAACCACTTAGCCACACCGGCTGCCAGATCTCAGTAACTTTTTATTTCTCCTGAATTAAGTTCAGGGTAGTATCTGCCAGTATTAGTTACCTTTGGTAAGAAATGAGCAGTGAATTCACGCTATCTAATACTTTGTGGTAGACTCAATTCTCTAATTATTGGGGATGAGTCTACACCCTGCTGCTTTAGTGTGTCTTTTCCGTTTTCTGTAGATCAAGGTGGTGCTCCTGGCTAGTCTACCATGTGAGGAAAACTGCAATCGTTACCATGTTGGGCTGTATTTTTGAAATGAGTACAATTCCCTACTCATTTTTTTAAAAGCTACTAATTCAAAATAGTCAGGATGCCACAATAATGCTACATTCTTCCTTAAATGAACTCGACTGGCACAGAGTGGCTCAGATAATGAAAAATCCTCTTGTTCAAGCCCTTCATTTTTGTGATGTGAAAACCAAAGATAGCTAAGGTGAGGAGGGTTAATTGGCAAAGTCTGGTTATAGCCCAGGTTTTCGGACCAGCAGTCTCATCTCATAGCTAGACATCGCCTTTAAGGGAGTAAATACCTTTAGATGAACTTGGATAAAGCTGAGTTTTCTTTCTTTGAGCATCAGAGTGGTCAGTGGTCAGCTTGCTCAGGGTCCATCGAGTCAGGGGGTGCACTCACACCTCCTGTGCACTCACTGGTTCAGGCTGTGTCCCCAGTCAGTGAGAGGAGGGCACACAGTGTGGCCCCAGGAACCCAAGCTGGAACCAGCTCTCTGTATCTGAGTGGTTGAACCAATCCATTACCAAGAGCCTTCCTTGACTTGCTCTAACTGCCCTCCGTGGAGCCCCACTGATGACCAGGAGGCCAAAAGCAAGTCAGTAAAGGGAAGAAGGGAAACTTGGACACTGAAGCCAGCAGAAGAAATGTCCATCCTGCATATCATGTGGTCACACAGAGAGGGTGATGGAAGACTCACTGGGAGGAGGAAGGCGACAGGTGAACATGAGGAAGTTACACCAGGACAATGGGAAACCAAGCACAGATCCCCAAGTCCACTCACACATGTGGGCAGGGTAAGCACAGACAAATGAGTCAATGGTAAGGGCTTCCTTTGGTACATCAGGGTCTAAATTTTATACAACAATCATGTCAGGAGAAAAGACTGAACAACCTGAACAATTTGTACCATCCACATATGCCCCAGGTGGAGGGAGGGTCTCAGGCTGCGACTCCCAGTGTGGCCCTCTAACTGGAAATGAAGACACGCTTTCCCACGTGGGAGCACATCTGAAGTAACAGCTGCAAAGCACCTGAACTGTCAAATCGGCAGCCAACACCTAGGATGCTTTTTTCCGTTAGAACTAAAGGCCACCGGGATACAATCTGAATAAAGAGGCCCTTTGTCTTCTCGCTAATCCATTGTCTATTCCAATGACTCGGTGCCTCTCACCTAATACTGCCTTATCTGTATGTATGTATGTATGTATAATGCAGCTATCAAATCAGAGGATAACACCTTATTGAAAATTGATTACAAGTGAGGGATTCAGTACACCAATCTCTTCCCAACTATGAATTCTCTTTACCAAGAACAAAATAGCCCCAGCATATTGTATTTTCCTTTGTGGTACTTTTCTAGCTATTGTCAGAGTTATGTGTGAGTTGTGAGGGATTCCTGTTTGAAATAATTGAAAAGGAGGCCACTGGGGATTGAGAAAGAAAAGTGGGCCGCTAGGGGAAGGAAGGTTAGAATTTTTCTGAGGGAAGAGTGGGAAGAAAGGAGGGGAGCTGAGGCCAGGAAAACCTGGGCTAGACTTGTACCGTGACTGTGAGAGTCTCGGCGTGAAGTTGCACAGGCCAAGCTGAGGTGGGGAAGGAAACTGAGCAGCACCTGCTCAGCCTGGTCTACTGAAGCTCCTTGGCATTTCTGAAGCCACTGAGGTCAAGACTCTGAGTCAAAAAAACCACAAAAAACACAGAGAGGAATGAGATGGATGGTCAGATACAGAGAAACCTCATTATGTTTTATCTGCAATGAGCAAAAGGGATTTGTAAGAAGCTCCTGAGATCACGGAGAAGAAAGACTCCTGAGATCACGGAGAAGAAAGACTAGACATTTCCAGTGAGCTAAGGATGGTTCTGGGAATTCGGTCACAGAGGATGAATTTTTATTTAAGAATGTGTGAGATGAAATTTTTACACCCTTTGTTTCATGGGCTACCTTTGCCGTTTTAATTTTAATTGCTTTTTAAGAATTTGTATGGGCTCACTGGTGGTGAGGCCCAGATCCCCCTTTTCCCAATTAGTGAACTCTTCTACCAGAGGGACCTTAGGAGCCTGGCCCTCGAGAGTCCCTGCCTGATGGACCATCACTACAAGGACCATATGGCAGACCCATGGCGGCCTCTGAGACGTGATGAAGTAAGACCTGGAACCCCCTGCCTTTTTTTCTTTTTCTCTACTCATTAGCTAGCTCACATTTTACACGTTTCACGTGTTCTGATCTGAGCCATTCAGGACCCCCTTCTCTCTCCAAAATTCTCCTTGCAGGGAGCCAGCCAGCCATAGTCCAGCACACCCCACCCCACCCCCATTATTTGGCAGTGGGCGAGAAAAGCACAATGTATGCCTTGAACCAATGAGGCAAAGGAGGGGAGGCGTTGCTTTATTTTATGAAATGAGTATAAATTATATGAACTTGCAACTTGCACTGAAAATGCACAAATAGGTAACAAACAGGTGTCTTGTCCCTGTGACCCAATTTAAAAATGGAGTGCTGGGATCCAGAACACCAAAGAGCATGAGGCAAAAGGTCTCCTGAATCAGGCTGAGAAAACACTCCCCGAGTGTCTGGTACCAGGGTGTTCCTTACCTCCAGGGGGCACCTGCTGTTTACCTCCAGGGGGCATCTGCTATTTATCTCCAGGGGGCACCTGCTGTTTACCTCCAGGGATACCTGCTGTTTACCTCTAGTGGACACCACTGCGGCTGGCACAACTCCACTTACAGAGAGGCCCCTGTGAGCAGTGCTGCAGGGTGGCATAGTACAGTGGCTCTGCAGTGGCACTAGCATCCACAGGTCAGGTCATTTGTAGATCTGAAACAGTGGACGGTGGCAACATGCATGCGTTTGCCTTGATCTGCATGTGTGTCCTCTTATTTCTCCCCTTCCTACATTCCAGTTTCAAGGTTTCAAACTCGAACCCCGAAGAATCAGGAGGCATTGTGTATGTGTGATGACTTAAAACTTGTTGATTTAAAAAAAATTCTTGGAAATAATTAATGAGGACACTGAGTTAATTACCTGTGCGTGCTTTGAGACCCAGTGACGGAGGACATTCAGCACTCGGTTGGTGGCTGTTCTACGGATAATAAACTCTTTGTCGCATATTCTGTCGGTGTTGTTAAATCCTGAGGAGGAAAAGAAACACAGGCATGTTCTAGTTAAAACCAGTCCCCAGGGACCTGGAAAAAGTCACTTAGTTTAGGACACTGGTTAATGAAACTCACAAATGACACATTTGGGCAGAGAGGTGCAAATGGCTTCTGACTGTTGTGAACTCCACTTACTTACCTGCATACCCTCAGAAGTGAGTCCACCAGAGTGACAGGTGCAATTAAATGAGTAATTTGCACATATTTATTAAGGGTCACTGAGTAAAACTAAAGCTGGTCTAATGACACTTCCATTTCTGCCTGTCTTGTTCTATAATATAAAGCTGAGACATTTTAACTAATAAGTCAGCATTAGTTTATACCTTTGCCCCAAAGTGATTATATAACCACTAACATTTTCAATACTCGTAGATGGATGAGCCCATATCTTGACTTCCAGATGATACAGATACTTCACTGAGCACCCATATACTGAGAAGCAGTATTGCATAGGCGTTAAGAACATGAACTCACAGGCAGCCTGTCTGCATTAAATCCGTTCTCCTACCGTGCAAGTTACGTCACCTCTCTGGTGACCAGTTTCCTCATGTTGTGCGTGAGCTAATAAGTGCACCTACCTCAGAGACTTGTTGTAGAGATTAAGTTATTTAATACATGTTAAGCATTTACAATGGCACCTGAAGCAATAGTAAGAGCTCAATAAATATTATCTATTATTACAATTCAATATTGGTTCAGTGTCTTTTGAGCCTTCTCTGTGCCGGCCTATGTCTCCATCTTAGCTATCTTTTCACTCTCAAGAAACTATTTTAAAATTTTTCTACTATTTTAAAAGATTCTTTTTTCCAATCATAATTAACTGTCATTCATTAGTTATACATTTCCTTTAAAAATTACATCAAGCCTTACATACCGTCGCCGGGAAACTTCCTGAAAGCTGTCTATACTCACGGATTCCATTTCCTCATCTCCTACTCCAAGCTTCCCACCCCACCTCACCACCACAACAGCTGCCATCAAATTCGCCAATAACCTCCACGTCCCTGTATCCAAGGGATATCTATCATCTCTCCATAGAAATCTCATCTAGTGATCACCTATAAGCAAATTACTCATAAATTTACATCCCAGATCCCTTCTCTAAGCTCCAGATCCATATATCCAACTTCCTCTTGACATTTTCCTCTTAGATGTTTCGAACACCTCAAACTCAGTATGTCCAAAGGAATTCTGCCAAACCTTGTCCTCTCCCAGGGTTTCCTACCTCAGTAAAGGAGCACCACCAGCCATCCAGTTAGATAAGCCTGAAACTTTGGAATTGTTCTTGGCCCATCTCTCTGCTCCTTCCTGATAATTTTACCTGCTAAATAAATCTCAGACCTGCCCGTGCCTTCCTATCTACAAAGCCCAAACTGGAGTTGAGCTACCAGCAGCTCGCCTCTGGTCTACTCCAGTAGTCTTCCCAAGGGGCTAACTGCCACTCTTGCCTCCTCAAATCTGTTCTTGGTGAAGACCACTTTCTTCTTCTTTTGATTCCCCAAATAAGCCCTTCTTTGGCTCAGTTGAACAAATCCCCCATTACACATCTCACAGCACCATGCAGCACATCTACTTTCTGGCACATTTGCAACTTTTTTTTAACCTTTTTATGAGCGTGTCCATATCTTTCAGTGTTGAAGTTCTCCTCTTACTCAGGTCAACCTGAGACTTTTCTCTAAGTGTAATTAACTGTAACTACATGAAAAAACACATCTTTCTAGACAGAGGAAAAGCAGCTTAGCAGGTCCACCACTATTTGAGATGAAAACTACATGAAGAATGGCAAAATCAGTCTCTTTCCTTTGCTTTCATCTTTCAAGGAAATGGGTACCTGTCAGCTGAATTGTTCTTATGGATTTTTAAAAAATGTGTGCTCCTTAGACTCTCTCTCTTTTTTTAACAGGTGGTGAGGCAGACTTTATCCAGAACCATCCTGATAGTAAGGTGGGTCTAAGAAGAATGGCTGTGGGAACACGGGGTAGTCAACTTGGGGGTCCTTACCTGCAAACTTGCCTGAGCAGATAATTAGGAGTTGGTGCTCTGTGAGGCCCGGGACCTTTCCGATACTCCCCAATGTGATTGTCCCATTTGTCAACTTGTGCATCAAGCACAGGGAAGGGCAACCACTTGGACGGAAGGGAGTCCGGGCCCTAAAGGATGAATCTGCAGGTCCTGCCGTTTCCCATAGGGTCTGAGCTCTACCAGGGCTTGTGTGTCCTGCTAAAGATTTCCAAATTTATGCTGAGGGAGCTGGGGCAATGGGAGAGCTCTAAACTGGGGAATTACACTGCTGGTCATCCTTGCTAGGAGGCCACCAGACTCCCTTCTGACTAAGAATCCCTATTTGAGAGGGATACTCAGGTGGGACTCCAGGAATGCCTCCTGAAGTTCCCTGGGTCTGTGAACTCCTTCCAGCAGTTTGTGGATGGAGAAAGGCAGCCCTGGGTTCTGAGCCCGAAGAGAGCCAAGGGCCCCATTTCTCAGGTTTGATGCCAGGTTAAGCGTATTGTTTCGTGGCACACAGTAGAGGTGGGCAGGCCCACTCCGCCCCACAGGTGAGGATGGGAATTTTGAGGGGTCAAGTACTTTCTCAGGGTGCTAAGCAAGTGGGCAGAGAGTCAGGCCATTGGACTATGGGTTCCAAAGCATATAATCAGCCATGCCCACACCCACTGTGTTCTCCCATCGAAAATACGGTGCAGGTGGGCCTGCCAGGCCAACCACTCAGCTCATGGCTCAACCTGATGCCTTGCCGCAGGGTGTCCTCAGAACTCTGCTTTGATTTGTCTTTTTTTCCTCTCTCTCTCTTTTTAAAAAAATGCTTTTATTTATTTCAGAGAGAGGAAGGGAGAGGGAGAGAGAAGCATCAACTGGCTGCCTCCTGCACGCCCCCAGACTGGCTGCCTCCTGCACGCCCCAACTGGGGATCTAGCCTGCAACCTGGGCATGTGCCCCAACCAGAAATTGAACCAGCAACCTCCTGGTGCAGGGGACAGTGCTCAACCAACTGAGCTGCACCAGCTGGGCTCTGCTTAGATTCTTAAAGGAACGATTTTATACTGAGTTTAAAATAAAACTTATTGAAAATCTTTGTGTTTCTTCTTTTAATTCTCACAATTCCATAAAACATAGTTCTTGCTTTTACAGCTGAGAAAACAGGCTCAGAAAAATCTGACAATCACCTAAGGTCACAGAAAGTAAAAACAGAGCCAGGACTCATGTCCAGATTGCCCAGTTCTAATATCCAGGCTCTTCCACTTCCACACACTCCCAAGAGGGGGGGCGCAGGGAGTGCAGTCGCCCCGTTTGTCGCTGTGCAATTCTCAGCCCTCGCATCCCTGTCATCAGGCCTTACGCTGGCGGAGAAATCTAACAAGAACACACCGCCCATACGAGGGCCACGGCGACTTCTGCCAAAGCGGAGGGGGCGACTGAAGAGTTGGTGAGAAGAAAGTAGAGTAAGCAAGTTAAATGACCTTTCAAGAAAATTGCTGAGGCAAGAAGGAAACAAATAGGCTAGAAATAGAGGTGGCAAAGGTCTGTGGGAGACAACAACTTGAACCAGTTTGAAAACTAAAATATAGCAATCCGTTTAAAAAACCAAATGTCTAATTCTCTTGGTCAGAGTTTCCTGAGCGCAAAACCAGTCGTAACCTAAAGAGGTACTGGAAATTAGAGAATGCTCTAGAAATGGGTTAAAATGAAGACCACCAAAAACCAACAAAAAATCTCAAAACACCAACAAACTTTAAATTTCTTGATAGTTTTCTGCTCAACTTCATAACCAACCATGGGAAAAAGGGTGAAAGGTTTTTCAGGACATGAGTTTGAATTCCCTGAGGGTAGCTCCCCACCCCTTCTGAGTAAGATGCGACTCAGCTACTCAAATCTTTGCCATTAGGTAAGTTTTCCTCACAAACCAAAATAATAATAATTTTTAAATCCTGCTATGTCTCTTTTGACAGAATCCTCCACACATCTAGAAATGCTGGTGGGGGAATGACAGTGTCTTCTCCAGGAGGGTGTGTAAGAAGTTTAGAATGAGCCCACACCTGTGGATTCAGGTGCTGGGGGTGGGGTGGGGGATGGCCACAAAATTATTGAAGGTATTCTGAAGAAATGAAAGCAAAGACTTTTACAGATGGTTGGGGAGAGGTTATGAAAACAGGTCCTCAGTTGTTAACATTCAAGAATTTATACAAAGCCTTTTTAACATATAAAAATGCTAGGTTTAACCATTTAAAAATGAAACATACCTTGGAAGGGAGGGTAGAAGCCACAAAACACAAAATTTGAGTAGACACAAAATATTTATTGAACACCTTTGTGCCAATAGTTTTTGTAGGAGCCAGGGTACAGCTGTGGACAAGGAAAATTAATTAGCTGCTCACAGGAACCAACCTCTACTGGGGGAGTCAAACAATAAAGATATAATGTAGTGCTATTAATATCTCCACACAGATACATAGGGTAAATTCGGACATTGAAAAGAGCTATGTGGAGGGCACATGGGCTAATGTGAGAGAGCACAGTCAGAGGCTGGGTGAGGAGGGCCTCTCTGAGCAGAGATGGGACCTGAATGTGGAAAAGACACGGTTATCTGACGATCTGCAGGAAGAGTGCTTCAGCAGGACAGTGAATGAAAAGGCCCCAAGACAGCTCAGCATGACTGAGGGACAGAAAGCAGCCCAGTGTGGCTGGAGCCCAGCGAAAATGGGGCCAGGAGGTGAGGTTACACAGGGAGCAAGATCACCAAGTATCTTTCAAGCCAAGTTAAAGAGCTGCATTATTTTTCCTTCTCTTTTTCTGCATCACTGGTTTATTATAAAAGGAACGGCCAAATGGAAGAGATGCATAGGCCAAGGGGCGGGGAAAGGTGTATGGAGCTTCCACACCCCCCAGGCCCACCACTCACCCCAAATCTTCACGTGCTCACTTCATTCACCAACCCAGAAGCTCTAAAGAACTGGATTTTATTCTCTGGTATTTGGGGGCCACTAGAGGGTTTTGTGCAAAGGAATCATATAAGCTGACTTACATTTGGAAAGGATACTCTGGCTGCCTTGTGTAGTGAGGACCAGATGGACATAAGTGGACCAGGTATGAGGCAGTAACCCAGCTGATCCAGGTGAGGCCGGTTTGGGACAAAGGTTGTGGCAGGAGTGATGGGAATTGTTCAAAACAGAGGGGGTAAGGCTTGCTGATGGACCAGATGTGGAGGTCTGTATTGAATTGAATAGTGTCCCCCAAAATTCATGTCACTCAGAACCTGTCAATGTTACTTTATTTGGAAATAGGGTCTTTGCAAATGTAAACAAGATGGCAAACTGGATTAAGGTGGGCCTTAAATCCAATCACTTGTTATAAGATGTGTGGTCATAAGAAGAATTTGGACACAGGCACAAACACTTGGAGGGAAGAGGCCATGTGGTAACAGAGGCAGAGATTTGAGATCTGAAGTCATCAAGTGAGTTCAGGCGGCCAGCTCTGGGGGTCTCTCTAGAGCAGGGCTCCACTCTGTCTGATACCAAGTCTGTCGGGTCCTGCCAATGTTCAGTTATTGTGCCAGTTGCTCCCTGCTCTGTGTTTTGATCGCACCATCAGAACTTGCCAGGCTGGCTCCTGCTTTCCCTCCAGTGCCCGGAGGCAGAGGCTCAGGATGCAGGTCTTCGTGCCTGCAGCTGCTCTGCAGCCTTTCATTGTAAATTCTGTATCTGCTCTGGAACTACAGAAGCGCAGCGAGGAGAATATCCCTGTCATCGGATTGTGCACTGAAACGTGCAGTTTAAAGACTCTCCAAAATGTCAGGCTGACTCTGAGCAGCTCACTATACAATTCTACTCTAGGGAATTAGTTTAACAATGTTGACTGATCAATGATTCGCCCCTGGTCCCTTATGCCAACAGCCTTGGGCCCATCCTCATCCTCGGAGGGTAACGTCAAACAACTCACAGTGCTGCAAACAGCACAGCACGGTGCACGCTGCGGAGCATCCCATGCCTTCCTCTCAGCACCTCTCCGTGACACCTGTGACTTGAAGATTGCAGTTTCCTCATGAGGGCAATCAAGAGACACCTTAAGTCCCTCTTTCTTCAAAGTCTCTCTGCAATTCCACCTTCCCTCTTCCTTCATGCCTGGAGAGAGCAGCAAGATGTGATAGAAGAAATAGTGGACTTGGGACTGTTTAATGGGCTTATCTCATTGAATGACCTTGGAAAAGTCCCTTCATCTCCCAGGGTCTATCAGTTTCCTCTTTGGTAAAAGGTGCCTATCTAGATGCCTCTAAAGTCCCTTCTTCAGTGCTTCCTTGGACAAAGCTCACGTCTCCCACTGTGTGTCTAACACCCTCGCTTCCCTGGCATCATCAGTCACCTGCCTCCCATCCCTTCTCCCACCCTGCCTCTGGCACCTCAGTCTCCATGAATCGCTCCCCTCTGATTACAACGGCCTTCCTCAGGGCTGCCACTCCCTCACCTGTGGCCGCAGAGGCTGTGTCTTTCTTGCTTGTCATACTCTAGGGATCCTTAGAGTATCTGTAAGCAGGCAGTGTCAGCTTGCCCAGTGGGCTGGGTGCTTCTTGGGGTAGTTGAGTGACACCAATTCCACACATCTGATTGCACCCATGAGTTTACATAAGGCCCCCTGAGTGGAAATAGACCACAACCCAATGACACTGAGATGCAGCAAGTGGCCTGTGTGGCGCAGACAAAATCAGCTCGGACTGTAGGAAGGGTGATGGAGGCCCTTAAGACTCAAGTCACCAGAAGCAAAGAGGAGGCTGAACTGGTGTCCTGGAGTAAGTCCCGGGGCTTAGGGAAAGGGAAGCCACTGGTCCAGTCAAGTTAGCAGAGCTCTGTACCAGCTCCAGGGGTGGCTGTTAAGAGAGCAGCCTTCACAGGAGCATCTCCGTGGACTGGCCAAAGCTTCTGCATTAGCAGCAGAGGCACCTGGGACCAGCAGGTGGGGTTTGATGTACTTAGGACATGACATCTGCCTCAGGGAGCACTAGCAGGCAATAAGGACAGGGAAAACTGCACTGGGAATTCTTGGAAATATTCCCAAAGAATTCTTTGAAAGATGGACTTTCCAGTGATGATACATATTGGATGCAGGATGGGAGAAGCAGTTCTCACATTATTGAAATCCACATATTAGAAGAAACTGGGCTCTGCCTTGAGGTCCCCCCCTCTCGGCCTGAACCACTGGGTTAGGCTTACATTTCCCTTCACGCAAAGGGTCTTACACACAGTGGGGACTCAGTCAATCTGTTCAATTGTTTTTATTTTTTAAAATCCAAGATTGTTTATTCATTTTATTATTTGTGGATAAATATACCAATACAGGCTGGTTCTGTTTATTGGAACACTTTGGTATTTCCTGAGTCAGGAGGTTCCTGAAGCTCCCAGCCTTGGAATTTATCACAATTCCCCTCCCATCCCACCCTCCCCAGGGTCTATAACCACAAGACTTGAGGTATCATTAAAGTGCTTTCAGTTTAGTAACTGAGGACTGAGAAGAGAGGCTTGTACACGTTTGTGGAAACTTCAGCCTCAGGAAACCATCCTGCACAAGGTAAGACCCTCCACCCTGGCTGGGGATGGGCTCCACCTATCTTGTGTGTATCCAGAGAGTATTTCAGATAAAGTCCATTTGTATCATTTCAGTGGAAGATGGCTGGTCAGTGCTCAATGCTGAAACTTTCAAATAGTCTACTAACAATTCTTAAAATGCGTTTCAGAGCTTCTAAGTTACTCTTTGTCCTACCCAGACACCTTCATGTCATCTACATAGGACTTCAATTCCCATATAGGAATTTCATCTTCCTTCCCTCCAGAATCCATAATGTGCTGATCAGGCCAACACTTACTACTTGGCAGGCAACTGCCAGAAGGTAGCAGAAGCTCCCAAGAATTCCATTCCCTAAGTCTGTGTTACTGTCACTATTCATCAGGGGAGATATGCAAAGTCCTTTTTCAAAACCACAAATTCTGAAAGTATTTTCTATTTAACTTCCCAAGAAATGATTCAACAGTCTAGAAATGATCTAACAGTCTACCTGATACTTTTACAAATATATTTTCTACCAAACTAGGCCAAAGTATTTGTTTAATATAAATATGAATTCAGGAACCATATTGGTTCCTAACTTTCATGAAGGTTGACCTATTTTTTCATTAAACTTTGCCCGATTTTAAGGGCAGAGACCTTAATTCACACAGTGAGTAAGTGTTGTGTGAAGTCATGTTGGTTAGAAAAATAATTTTCCAAAAGTAAACTAACTTCTTGCACTTGAGGTTCTACTGAAAGACTGTCAAGTATACTAACCCCATGGAGCAAATGTGCACGGTGCTGAGAAGTGCTCTGTCTTGAAGAAATGGAGATGGCCCTGGTGTGCCTCTCTCAATTCAAGCCAGCAACTCTATCTTACTTTTCAGAGGTAAGACGCCTCTGGGTTAAAAGGCCTAGGAAATATACTACAGTGAAAGCATCATTCTAAGAGTTAAAACATTATCATTGTTATTATTTATAGATAATATTCACTCAGTGCTTACTTATACCAGGGACCAAACTCGTTTAACCCTTACAGCAATCCTTTAAGTCAGAGCTATCCCATTTTATAGCAAATAATAATGATATAACAGCAATCACTTATAGTGTTTATCATATGCAAGTACTGTCCTAACACTGGACACAAATCAACTTATTTAACCCCCACAATGACCTCATGAGTAGCAGAGTTTTTGCAGTGCACAATGTCACCAGGTACATTCACATCAACTACACATGTGACCACAGCAGTCACAGGTCCTAATTTCCCCATTTTATAAGACTTCCAGAATGAGTAAACACCTCCTGGTGCAGTTGGGCAGCTTAGCGCTCTAATTACACAGCATTACAAGCTGGGACACACATCACATCTGTACTTTCCTCAGGTCAGAAGGAAAAAAAGCACCATTTAATCTAAGCACAGGACTTGATGTACACGCACAGGCACAGAAACTGGGGTCCCACAAGAGCCCTCTAATGGCATGTTTCTTGTGTAGCTAGATCACATATTGCACAAAATTTGCTCTGCCTAAAGATATTTTAAATTAGTGAGTTCGGAGATCAATAGAGATGCATTTAATTTTGTGACATCACTTTATGTGCCCATTTGACTATTTCATTTCTGCATGTTCTTCCAATATAGTCATATCTGTATTAAACTGAGATGGTTAAAAATGCACAATTTCTTTTATAAGCATAACTGATTACATGTAAAAGACGAAGATGGAGAGGGGCTCCTTCCTGTACTTTGAGCTGGAGGGTTCAAAAGCTAAAAATCATTACTCCTGCCTCTCAGGTTCAGAATGCATATTAGAGCTTCTGCTCAGGGCCTGGAAGGTGAAAGTGAGATGAAGGCCATTTGCCACTGCAGTGGCCATTTCTACAGTGCAGTGTCCCACTCCACAGAGGCAGCACAGTGTCCCACCCCACAGAGGGAGCACAGTGTCCCAGCCACAGAGGCAGTGCAGTGTCCCAGCCACAGAGGCAGTGCAGTGTCCCAGCCACAGAGGCAGTGCAGTGTCACACCCACAGAGGCAGTGCAGTGTCCCAGCCACAGAGGCAGTGCAGTGTCCCAGCCACAGAGGCAGCGCAGTGTCCCAGCCACAGAGGCAGTGCAGTGTCCCAGCCACAGAGGGAGTGCAGTGTCACACCCACAGAGGGAGTGCAGTGTCCCAGCCACAGAGGCAGTGCAGTGTCCCAGCCACAGAGGCAGTGCAGTGTCCCAGCCACAGAGGCAGTGCAGTGTCCCAGCCACAGAGGGAGTGCAGTGTCACACCCACAGAGGGAGTGCAGTGTCCCAGCCACAGAGGCAGTGCAGTGTCCCAGCCACAGAGGCAGTGCAGTGTCCCAGCCACAGAGGCAGTGCAGTGTCCCAGCCACAGAGGGAGTGCAGTGTCACACCCACAGAGGGAGTGCAGTGTCCCAGCCACAGAGGCAGTGCAGTGTCCCAGCCACAGAGGCAGTGCAGTGTCCCAGCCACAGAGGCAGTGCAGTGTCCCAGCCACAGAGGCAGTGCAGTGTCCCAGCCACAGAGGGAGTGCAGTGTCACACCCACAGAGGGAGTGCAGTGTCCCAGCCACAGAGGCAGTGCAGTGTCCCAGCCACAGAGGCAGTGCAGTGTCCCAGCCACAGAGGCAGTGCAGTGTCCCAGCCACAGAGGCAGTGCAGTGTCCCAGCCACAGAGGGAGTGCAGTGTCACACCCACAGAGGGAGTGCAGTGTCCCACCCACAGAGGCAGTGCAGTGTCCCAGCCACAGAGGCAGTGCAGTGTCCCAGCCACAGAGGCAGTGCAGTGCCCCAGCCCACAGAGGCAGTGCAGTGTCCCAGCCCACAGAGGCAGTGCAGTGTCCCAGCCACAGAGGCAGTGCAGTGTCCCACCCACAGAGGCAGTGCAGTGTCCCAGCCACAGAGGCAGTGCAGTGTCCCAGCCACAGAGGCAGTGCAGTGCCCCAGCCCACAGAGGCAGTGCAGTGTCCCAGGCCACAGAGGCAGTGCAGTGTCCCAGCCACAGAGGCAGTGCAGTGCCCCAGCCCACAGAGGCAGTGCAGTGTCCCAGCCCACAGAGGCAGTGCAGTGTCCCAGCCACAGAGGCAGTGCAGTGTCCTGGTCGCCGACGCAGGAAGTGGGTGTCTTCTTAGGCGGCATTTTCCTCAGTCATCTCCTACTGTGCCCCACCCAGGACGGCAGAGGCAGCAGGCCCCTGGAGGGTCAGTTCTGCCTGGTGCCTCAGAAGTGATTCCTGGGAGCCTAGCCTCAAGCCTATGTACCCAAGTCCCTGTAATAAATCTCTTAAATCTCTTCCCAACAAAAATAGCTACTGTGTTCTCCTCAACCAAGCTTTTATAGATAGCAGACAGCAAGTGCCCAATGTCAGATGTCCAGGAATTAGCTCATGATGCCCAATATTTGCAATTAGAAGCCAGGAGCTCCATTTCCCATCATATGTTAGAGGCCCATGAGGGAGACGGCGCCTGAGCAAGCCTCGGCATTCCGTTAAAACAGCACCTTCCACACTCAGAGACACTGCACCTGCAGGCTCTTTGGTTTTGCTGAGCTGAAGCTGGCCTTCTAGCAAACCTGCCTAATTCCTACGTAAATATGCATGCTGACCACACTTGCTTTCCACCTCTGCCCCTCACTAAGGGGGGGGGGGAAGAAGGAAGAAAAGAAAAAAGAAACCCCAGTAGACAGTAGAGGTAAGGGGATTTCACAGAGAAGTTTCTCTCTCACCCTGAGGACAGTCCTGGGTGAATCAGGCCCTCTTAGCACCTGATCAGAAGGCAGCCTGTGAGAGTTTTTAAAAGCTTGTCTCTATGTTTGCCTGGCAGAACCTGAGCTCATTTAGATGAAAACCAAACCACTGCAAAAGATCGTTCTATAGATTCAGAGTAAAAGACTGACTAACAAGTGGAACTATTAAGTGGAAAATGATAATCCATACAGGGCTGACATACTGACAATGACTTAATTGGTGCCAATAATGTTCCTAGTAATACCTTCATTATGAGGATTTAAAGCATCAAGCCATTTGCACACAATTCATATACAGGAATCTTTGTACACAAGGTCGAGAGGCTACACTGGGGACAAAACAATTTTCATATTTTGCCTGAGAGATCCTCTCCAGCTGGATAATGCTCAGTGAGCTCGGCCAGTATTGTAAAAGCCCGCGACTGGTAAACAGCATGTCCTCCTGAGGGGATCCACTTTCACCTCTGGCCCTGAAGACTCTAAGACCCAGCTCTTACTCTCAGGTCCAAGAGCAAGGATTTAACAGCATCCCAATCGTACAGTGAGGTCATTCATTAGAGCTTATTCCCTAACACCATCCCAGAAACAAGACTGTTTTCTTCCATGACCACACCTAGTAAATGCTCTCTGATGAGGGAAATAAAACCAAATCACCAGACCAGCACACCAGCCATCACGTATGATCACTTCTGTCACCAGCAAGGTGATTTTTAGTTCTCTGCAAGCTTGCCTATGTATCAGAAATGCCATTGGTTCTATACTTTACTAACTTGCTCTTTTGGTAAGATGCAGTGGACAGTTAGGCACTGATCCCAAGACAGAACCTGAGTTGAGTCCTTGAACCATCTCAGACTCTGATCACATGATGGGGATGCAATGATCACAGCGGACAACTGGGACACATCACTGCCCTCTTCTTAGAATGATCTTCAAAAGGCACAAATGAGTTAATTCAGCATCAGATGAATTAACCATCTCTAGTCCAGGTTAGCTATTATATGAACTTTTTCTTTTTTTTTAAATATACCTTTATTGATTTCAGAGAGAGGAAGGGAGAGGGAGAGAGAGAGATAGAAACATCAATGATGAGAAAGTCATTGACCGGCTGCCTCCTGCACGCCCCCGACTGGGGATCGAGCCCGCAACCCGGGCATGTGCCCTGACCGGGAATCAAACTGCGATCTCCTGGATCCTAGGTCAATGCTCAACCGCTGAGCCACGCCCGGCGGGCGATATTACATGAACTTTTAAAGAAGGCAGGAAGAAAATACATACAATTAAAAGCTCCATTATTACCCACCTTCAAAACCACAGTCCCTGACATTTGGTTCCAGATCCTGTGGCACTGATGATGCTAGAAAGCTCCCTTCAGAGTCTGACTAAGGTTTTCCTTATCAGATCCCTGGGACAGAGTCCAAATAAAGAACTCACCTAACTCGGATCAACCTTAGCTCTAGAGGGGGGAGGTCAAAGTTACAGGCATCTCTAAAACTCGAAGCCCTGCTCGTAGCTTGAACACTAGAGTCACTAATAAAATACGCTTTTCACTGAAGATAAAGGTAATAATATAAGGATGAGATGGGTAAGCCAGCAAAACAACAGAAAAAAAAATAAATGAAAGTACATATAATTTTAACAGGTAACTAAGATACAACTTACCTACCATGAAATTCACCCATTTTCGTGTATAATCACTAATACTTAATTTACAGGGCTGTGCAATCATAACCACCATCCAATTACAGAACATTTCCATCACCCCCAAAATACCCCTGGTGCCAATTCACAGTCAATCCCTGTCCCCAACCCTGAGCCAGGCGGTCATGGGTCTGTCTGCTATCTTTATAGATTTACTTTTCCTAGACGTTACATAAAAATGGAATCATACTGTGTTGGGTTTTTTTACATCTGGCTTTTTATACTTCACCCAGGAGTCCTCAAACTACCTGCTGCCTGTTTTTGTAAAGTTTTGCTGGCACACGATCACACCCGATCCTTTACGTATTGTCTATTGCGGCGTTAGCACCGCGAGGGCAGAGCTGGGAAGCTGTCACAGAGCCTACAAGCCTAAAACATTTACTCTCATCTTCTAAGGAAACACTGCTGACCTGACTTAGCATAATAGTTTTGAAGTTCACTCACGTTGTAGCATCATCAGTCATTCATTCCTTTTTGC